ACTTCTGAGTGAAAAAATGCTCATGAAATACGTACGTGGAGTAACCAGGTAGGCAGGTTTTAACGTTGCAAACCTGCAACGCCTGCCTCTGGAGGGTTAAACTTGTGACCACAAAGTTACAAGAAGTTTTTTGCTTTATTTTTTCAAACGTTCAGTATTTCTGTCACATTGGGTGGAGCTAACCTCTCCATTGAGTTTTCCTGTTTGCAGGTGGGCGCGCCCGGAGAGCAGCTGCTGCGAATTCTTTCATCAGCTCGCAGGGGATTTAAGGAGTGGCGTGACAACTCACCAGTGCCGGATGATTACTCACATTGGGTAGTATACACCAGCTCTAGACCTGTTTCTAGTTTCTTTTTTCTGCATCATGTTCTGCCTGTTAAAGCCTCGTCATCTCCTGTCCCATTCCTCCGTTCTCCCGCCCAGGTACTCTCATCATCTGCCTGTTACCAGCTCGTCAACCTGCACTCTCACCTGCTACTACAAGGAGCCTCCGAATCTCCTGTCCACCCGCCACGCCGCTTCTCCCTTGGGCCGTCTGCTCTCCTGCACTCACCTGCCCGCTCAGCTCCTGGAACTGGTGCTCAGCTCCCAGCCTCCTCTCAGAGCTCCACTACCTTACTGGAATCCGTTCTAATCATACCTGCTTTACATTACTCATTCTTGTTCTCTGCCCCAGAACGCAGAACGCTGCCAGAACCGCCCTCCTCCGACGTCTCCCCAGCCTCGTCAAACTTAATAAATAATATATTATTTTCACTCACTTTGTTCTTCGTGATTCTGCATGTCGTGGGTCAAAAGGCTCGATCCAAACGTGACAATTTCAGAAAAAAACCTGACCCCGTTTCAGTGTAGGAGAACCTGGATTAAAATTATGAATCACTGGGGGACAGTTTGTATGACTACTAAGTATTGTTGGTGACAAAAAAAACTGAAAATGACTAAATTTTTAAAAATCAACCCTGATTTTTCCAAACTGCTATAAACCAGTAATTCAATCATTTTATTTGCTAGAAATTTAAATAAAACAAAACAAACTTCAAAAGCTGTAATTGCAGATTGTTTTGAGATTTGTTTTAACTTTACAGCACAGAAAAACTAAATAAATCAAGACATTTAAACACAAGCAACCAAACAAATTGGACGGATGTTTTGTGAAAAGTGGATTTTTTTTTCATCCTTGCTTCGACAAATCTCGTCATTTTCCGTCTTTTCTTGGTTTCTCTCTGTCGATTAACAGTTTGTGGAAACAGAGGTTACATTCCTGTTAAGTCATGAAGAAGAGTAGCTCTGCTCCAGCGTCTGATTTGTGCTGATTGTGGAGCAACAAACCTTTTCAACGCACTCGACAGAACAGAGGACAGAGTGGGCAGATGAGGATGAGGAAAAGAACAATAGAGAAGGAGAAAAAAGTGCTGATCTCTCTCCCTCCCTCTCATTCAGGATGCTGACTGTTTCTGTACAGAAAACCGACTCCCACGCTATTCTGCCTGGCCTATTTATCACAATGATCATCTTATGAAGAACCGGGATTTACACAGGAGGCTCACTAGAGCTGCGCATAGGACAATGTTTGAGATTTGTATATTTTCTTCTTCCATCTTTTGAGATCCACTGCAGATATGAAGGGGTTAATTCATGCTCATTCATCCAAGACGAAGGCAGGATGTTAGGAATGCTACAGTTTAGCCTTTTGTTGCGGCTTTAGGTCACAAAATGAAACAAAAACCTAAATATTCTTGTATATTTTCATGGATTTGACTGTGTCCGAATAAACTCTAGTTTATGTTTTCTCGATATTTAAAAAACATTCAAAACTATATAAATCAGCAGCACCTACAGCATCATTAAAGATGTTTTCTTTCATGTATTACATCTGCAGCTATAAGGAGCCATATTCAGCACAGCAGGGACATTAACCTTTCCCCGCCACATTAAAGTGGCCAGCTCATACTCTTTTATACATTTGAGAGCAAAGGTCGGCACTAAAGAGATGCCATTCATCTTAAATATGAGTTATTTTTATCAGCCTGAATTTAGACCCGCAAGTGAAATGGTCTGCTTCAGTCAGCCCCACCTGAAGCCTGAGCTCCGCCCATCTATTACGTAACCCACAAAGTATTATAGGCCACAAGAAAGCAACGATGAGAAGAAAGCATCCTGGGAAACAGTGCCCGCTCTGGCAAAACGCATGTACAACAGCTGCAACATTATATGTGCAACAGTCAGGCACCTCCCTATCTGTGTGAACTTCTCCAGTACTACCACCCTCCTCGTGCTCGTAGGTCTGAAGATCAGCTCCTCCAAACTGTCCCTAAGGCACGTTTGAAGACCCGTGGGGAAAGGGCCTTTTCTGTTTGAGCCCCAAAACTGTGGAACTCATTACGTCTTCAGGTTAGGCAAGCACCCTCTATTGCCATCATTAAATCACGCCTGAAAACCTACTACTTCTCCCTGGCCTTCAACTCCCAAACCATAAAGCATTAACTCATCCTTAGTTTCTCCACCTTGTTTGTTCGATTTTAAATTTGTGTTTTTAATATTCTGGTTTTACTTAGTTGTTCTTTTAACTCTTTGATCTTTTTTACTTCAAATGATATACACCAGTGGTTCCCAAACTTTTTCCCAAGGGAAAAGTTTTTTACCAGTAAAATTTTTGACGACCCCTTCCCATTCTCTCTTCCAGTACAGACAGTATTAAGAAATGATGATAAAATTGTTCAAGCACATTTTAATATGCTTTGATTCAATAGATAACAGTAATAGTATTCTCCAGTACAGAACAAAGTCATTAACAAAACCAAACAGAGCATCATGTGCTTGACAGTTTGTATTACTTTTCTGAACACATTGTTTCTTGTAAACACTGATAAATCAATCATGCCTTTCAATAAACATTTGACACATAAAAAATACACTGAGCAAAATGTACTTAAATGTGTATATTACTGTTTATACTAGATTATTTACTGTAAAGGCTGTGATTAATCAACCAGTCCTACCTTTAATGAACTTTTGACACTTGAAAATAAAACAGTGTGCTGAGCAAAATGTTCTTAAAAGTGTGTTACTTTTTCTGTACTAATTATTTCCTGTCTTAATATCACTAAACTTTTCACTCATGAAAAAAAAAATGTGAGCAAAATGTAGGCTATTAACAAGTAATAAATGAAGTTTTAACCCCTTAAAGTGGAGAGGTCCTGGCGACCCACTGAGAGGCTTTGGCGCCCCTTTGTGGGGGTCGGGACCCCCAGGTTAGGAACCACTGCTATATACACAACTATTTTAGCTTGTGTTTTTTATTTATTTGTTTTATGTGCAGCGCTTTGGGCGGTTGTAATGCCATGTTAAAAGCGCTCTACAAATCAAGTGGTATGGTATGGTTAGGGAATTCAGTTGTTGTATTTGGATTGGCGGTCGAGTGGTTAAAGAATTTGCCTAGTAATTTGTCAGAAAATCCACTCGGGTACCGGTGGAGGTTTATAAAGAAATGACGGTCAGACTAAAACATTCTCAACGGCAGCATCAATTCAACCACCCTTTACTCAAAACTAGGAGAAAAAGGGCCTTAGTGACCTACTTCCGGGAGAGGTGGGTTTCAGATCCAAGACTAGCTTCATAGGGAGGAGAAAAGCCTGATGATGCACCTAGTGTCCACCCTGCTGTCTGCAGGTCTTTACCACAGCATCTAAAAACTTACAGCTGAGACAGGAAAATGCATGAATGTAGCCAAAAATGGCATCTGGAGGTATTTTTCATGGGGAAATACTATCACGTAGTAAAAAGCTCCCAAAAGTGGATTTTCCATGATCGGGCCCCTTTAAGGGAGAGCATCCTTGTTCGCTGTGTCCTGCATGTGTTCAGGAGGCCACACTAATCTCTACACACTGTAATCTATACCCACAAGAGCGGAGACAAAACGTCACCACCCTGAAAACAGTAATCCAATCGACCTGGAATCATCCTCAGAACAGAACGGCAGCCTCCGTCTCTGCTGAACCGTGCACATCACATCTCCCTCCATCGGATCCGGTACAAACAGACTGATGAATGGATGGATGGGTGAATTTGCATCCCATCAGCACAAAGCAACAATTCTCTATCTGCTGCTTGCTTTGGAGATTAAGTGGTGTATCCTCAGAATATCAATACCAAAATAAATAAATATATAAAGATGGAAGGGAGCTCCAGCTCTGTTATTGTTGCCAGTGTGTTTTAGTAATCAGTAAAACACACTGCCTTGATTCCGCTGTAACGAGGGGAAATCAGTACACCACTCCTGAGTGCAACACAACAGGGTGTGCATGATCAAAACCACAGCAGATTAATCCTCCGGAAGACAACCACACTGCACGTCATCCCCACACTCATCTAGATGGTTTTGTTGGTGAATCAGACAACTTCAACCAGACATTTTGCATGATTTGCTGCTACATCATGTGAATTGTTCTTAAAATACTTTGTGAGGTAATCAAATGTATCCTGCAATGATGTTTAGTCCAAAAAGATCAGAGCAGAGTAACACTTAGACGCATGAGTGGAGTAGAAAATAAGGCTGGATTTGTATACATATACATACAGTACATACATACATACATTCATCCATACATTCATCCATACATCCATCCATACACACACACATATATATATATATATATATATATATATATATATATATATATGTGTGTGTGTGTGTGTGTGTGTGTGTGTGTGTGTGTGTGTGTATGTATGTGTGTATATATATATATATATACATACATACATACATACATATATATATATATATATATATATATATATATATATATATATATATATATATATATACACACATACATACATACATACATACATATATATATATATATTTGTTTTTTATTTTTTTATTTATTTATTGTGTGTGTGTGTGTGTGTGTGTGTGTGTGTGTGTGTGTGTGTGTGTGTGTGTGTGTGTGTGTGTGTGTGTGTGTGTGTGTGTGTGTGTGTGTGTGTGTGTGTCCTACCGCACAGTAGCTGCATCCAGGCACAAGTCTTGTAAACGGTGGAGGTGTTGCAGAAGAAGAAGAGCGCCATGCAGGCGATGCAGCTGAGAATCAGCACCATGGACAGCAGCACGAACACCGAGGCCGCCTTGAAGGCTCCGGACGGGATGGAGCTGAAGTCGGAGAAGCTGCCCGCGCAGTAGAGCTCCCGGCTGCCGGCTCCGGGCTCCTTGCTCACGCAGTAGTGGAAGAGGCCGAAGTAGCCGGTCTGCGTCGTCTTGACGCTGTCGCCGATCCAGTAGGGCTGGATGAACACCACCACGTTGACGATGGCGAAGCAGATGGTGAAGATGGCCCACAGAACCCCGATGGCTCGGGAGTTGCGCATGTAATTGTCATGGTAGATCTTGGAGGCTTCTTGGGAAGGCAGCATGTTTGGTGTCGTTTCTTCTCCTCCTTGGAGCTATCCCTGCGTCTGATCACAACTCACTTCTGCGCTTCTTCACTCCAACAGAATCATGGATGAAATAAAATTCCCACACAGCTCGACCCAGATCTTCCCCCCTGCGCTATGATCCCCCGCTTTGGCCGGGTCTTGAGGCTGTTAGAGGCTAATAATCGGGCCTAAAACATCACAGGATAAACACGGAGCCTAAAAATAGGACAAAACGTGATAAAAGGGGGTGCTACATGAAAGCAATATAAAGTCACAGCCTACTTCAGACCTCTGATGAATAATTTACCAAAACCAGTGGATCAACATTGCTGTCTAAGGCTGCTTTTCTCGGGGCTACACCATAAAGGATGAAAAAAATCCATCAAAAATGCTGTCACAGTCGTCAGGTGGAGGGGGCTAAAGCCTGTTCTCCTCTTCATCCATCAGTCCCTTATTAGCATCCGTGAGACGAGCTGAGTCTTGTTGCCTGTGGCGCCAGCGGTAGAGCCCGTTTTTCCCTTCCCAGGCATCCGTGGGGTGCCCCTCTTCCTCTACTGTCCACGCAGCAGCATGTGGAGAAAGGTGAAGCGCGATGAAATGACGAGAGAAAATGGAGAGCAGCTTTCGGCGCGAGACCTCTGTCAGATCTCAACAGTCCTTTCCCGCAGCGCCGACGTCCTCCGCCGCCTCGACTCCATCATCATCATGTTTTTAGTCGTAGAGCCTTTACCCCGTACGTCTCCTCTTCCTCTCCCTTTCTTCGTTCTCCTCCTCCCGTTTCTCGGCGCGCGCTCTCCCCGGAAGATGCTGATGTTGTACTGATGACAGCGCTGGAGCGCGTGCACGGACGCGCGCGGGAGCAGCAGCGAGGAGAAATTTGCATCAGTGCGCGTGCCCACTTTTGTTCACCTTGAATTTGTAATTAGAAAAGACGCACGTGTACACGCAATCACGCACGCCCACTCGCATGCACATATGTCCGATGACCAGAGGGCCTGTAGACTTCACATGAGGATATTCTGAAGTGCAAATAAAGTTTTTATTTTAAAAATATACAAACGAACATGGATACTTATTATTTTTTTAGTTTAGTTTATTTCAAACAAGAAAACATACATAATTTTTTTAAATACCACGAACAGAAAAAATACATAAAAGTTCATAAAAGTCCCAGATGTCATCACAGCCTTGTTTTCAATTGCTGCTATTGGCAGGTAAAATGTAATAATAATAATAATAATAATAATAATAATAATAATAATAATAATAATAATAATAATAATAATAATAATAATTTGATTAAATATTGCATAGGAGGCATGATCAAATATGTGTGCAGCTGGTACTGTAGCCTCTAGAGAAGCAGTTGCATAGCTTGCATCTGTCTAGGGCCGGCTCCATCTTAGGAAGCAGTCAGCTGGTAGAACCGGGTCAGAACCAAACAGGGTGAAGCTGCTTTTAGCTACTATGCAGCACACAGAGGAATTAGCTTCCTCATGACCTCAAACGTGCCACAAAGTGACTTTTAAATCAATCAATTTAACTTAACCTTTAGCCCTTTAAGCCCTAGGCCTATTTTGAAGCCTATTGGAACTAATGTTACAGGGTCCCCCACCTGGGGGACCCTAGGGCTTAAAGGGTTATTCTGAATCTTAAATCTGAAACTGATGTGTATTTATTTGGATTGAACTTTCTGTATTTTGATTGTGCTGTCACATTATTTTAACATTTTAATGCTATTCCATAAGCACATTAAATTGCCTTTATGTATGAATTGTGCTATACAAAAAACCTGCCTTGCCATGACTCTCAGAGAAAAGGTTGCAAGTTCAAATCCTGACTGCACTGCTTCTCCAAGCACTGTTAGCATGATCCCCCCATGCATGTGTGTGTTTTCTGTGGATCCTCTCACAGAACATAAGCATGCATGTCAGGTCAACCGGAGACTAAATCGTCCCTTTAGGTTTGTGTGAATGGTTGTTTGTCTCTGTCCCTGTGATGGACACCTGTCCAGGATGTCCCGTTCCTATCAAATGAACAAACAGAGACATGCACCAGCTCCCTGTGACCTGAAGGCAGGCGAAAATGGTTCAGATAAGGATCAAAACTAGTTGTCAAGTAAAAAACAGTAAAGTTAGAGAAATTATCTTTCTAAAATCTACTTGAGCTTAAACCATCCCCCAAATGTTCGTTTCCTGTCGTTTTCTCATTAGTGTCATGTCGTTGTGGGAAGGACCCAGACGCAGGTGAGAGAGGTGTGCAGGATGCAGCCAGGTAAGATAAAAATAAAAACGTTTCTAATTTTAAGAGCAGGGTAAAGAACATTACAAGAACAAATCAAAGAATATTAAGAACAAATGAACTGAACCGGGTGTAAATAAAGAGGGCAGTGATGAGACAGGGGACAGGTGTGATGAATGATTGCTAATGGCCTACAGGTGAGGCTAATGGACTGAGGAACACAATCAGGCACTGGAAGGATTTCTAAATAAAATATCCAAATAATAAAATTAACTAAAGAGATCAATATTAGCCGAAAGAGGAGGAGGTTAAATGTAAGGAAAAACAAAACCCAACGAGAAACTAAACCTGGCGATTCAGAACTGAAAGGGTGGAGAAACTAAGAAACTGATAAAAACTTAACACCAAAAACAGGATCTACAAATGCAGCCAAGTAGAAAAGGGAAAAAACACAAGGACAAAGCTACCTGAGGGATAAACGTAGAGCAGGACAACAGACAACTCCAAACAAAGGGGGAAAAAACTAATGTTAAAGAAATACAGGGGTCAAAGGTCATGGAGACAAGAGGATTAGAACTGAAGTAAATACAGAGTAGACTAAACATTAAAAATGAAAACTGTGAATGATAATAAATGTGGAGGGACAGAAAACACAAGGAGGATGGGAAAGGCACGGGAGGGACTGGGGAGGCGAGGGGCACAGGACATGACAAGTAGTAGAAGAAGTACTAGATTAAAGTACAGAAAAGGGGTTAAAATGACTTAACTAAAAGTTGAAGTGTCCAAGAAATGTTTGTCTGTAGTAGAAGTATTAAATTATGCATTTTCAAATAGTAAATAAATGTAAAAGTATTCAAACAACATTTTATCGTGTGTTGTGTGTACTATTAACTTTGGAACTGCAGTCCAGTTTGTGCCCTGCTGGCTTCCATCGGACCAGGGGTGGGGGGAGGGTTCGGACAAAACACAAACTGAAGTACTTTTACTTTTGAAACTTGAAAATGTAGTGGAGGATAAGTACTGATAGTTGCTTCAAAATGTGGTTGAGTAAAGTAAAAAAAAAAAACAGGCCTCAAGAACATTTTTTCAGAAAAGTACAGATGCAGAAAAATTGTACTTAAGTACAGTAACTAAGTACTTGTACTATGTTACATTCATCACTGTGTATTCCACACTACTCTCTGGTAATAGCTCTGTGGACCTCATTCGATTTCAGCCAATCGAAGTATTCAGGGACTGCATGGGGGTGCATTTGGGTAGACTGTTGCCTTATTAGGAAAAGGTTGCAGGTTCAAATCCTCATTGCAAACTTTTTACATGAAGTCTGCATGTTCTTTTCATGGTATTCCAGGTTCCTACCACAGACCAAACACATGCATGTTCAGGCCAACCAGAAACTGACCATACGGTAGGAAAGACTGAAAAAGTTTGCTAATGGTTGTTTGTCTTACATTGGCACAATCCCTTTTTAATATTGCATGCATGTGGAATAATTAAAATTTTGCACCTGACCCCTTGAATCTCATTCAGTTTAAGATGAAAATCGGACTTTTAATGTAATTTGGTAACCTTCAGCAAACTCATCTTGTATTTATCTTGAGAATTGGAGTAGCCAGTAGATGATAATCTGCTCTAACGCCCAGAAACGTTAAACAACTAAAGACTTTAACCTAAGCATTCTTTACTACTTTAAATATTACCGTTGGCACTATGAAGATGTCATTTGTTCTGAAATTTAAGCTATTTTTTGGGACATTTTTAACCCGGAGACAAGATGCTTGGATTGTATGAAGTCTCACCCCCACCCATGTGAGCTCCACCCGTTTCATAACATAATCCCAGAGTCCTCAGCAAAGCATCATGGGCCATAGAGATGAAGAAAGAATTTCAACAACTGCACTCATGTGAAAATAAAACATTCCATTTTTAAGGAAGAGCGTTTTTAACACTCTAGCTAGTGGCTAGCAGTTGGCATTTTGTTTACAATCACCAACCTGACTCTCCACTTTGTGGTTTTCACTTTGGAATGGCATTCATTTGAAGAAGTAATGATTCTGAAAATCTGTCCCGGTACTGGTGTGGCCAGTACAAGCAGTCTCTTTCTGGTTCGGTTTCTGCAAGCTACATCCGACCATTTCTGGAAATAAAACTATTAGCGATGAGCGAGTACACCACTATCTGTATCTGTATCTGTTCAACCAACTAAATGATCTGTATCTGTATCTGTACTCGGAATGGGCGTGGCATAACCCGGAAGTGGGCGTGGTTTAACAGGAAGTGGGTGTGGTTTACATCAATATATTATTTTAAGTCTGAAATTGATATGGAATGATCTAAGTTGCTATGTGTATTGTTTATTTGAAAACGATTTACAGAGCAACCTCAGAATTTAGATGAAATATATTTGATCACAATAGTAAAGGAACTATTTCAGAACAAGTGTTTCAATAAAATCAGAACATTAACATTTAAGTGCATGGATGAATACATCTGAACTCATGTAGTAGGGACTAAGAAATATGAAATGCTAGAACCAGACACAACTTTATGATTTTTATTTTATTTTAATTTGATTAAACTGATTTTTTTCTTAATGTTCTTGGCATTTTGCCACACAAAGTTAAACAAAACAATGTTGATTAAGGTGTGTGTCTGAGAGAGATAAGAGAGGGTGAGAGAGAGAGAGATGGAGTTAAAAAAAATAAAAAACCCTACCGGAGCGGAGGTAGTGACTTGATGCAGAACGTCAGCTCTGTCTTGTCAAATGCACCAGGTAAGTTACGAAAAAGTAACTTTAAATATTCAACCGAAAAAGAGGCGAGCTGAAGAAAACCTAGGGAAAACTGAAGAAACGTGAGCAACAGTGAAGCAATCACAGCGAGATCCGTTACTGTCTGTGTGTGTGCGTGGATGAGCCGGACGGATTGCACTTTGTTTCTGTTCAGTTTACTTCAGCTATGGAGGTTTCGAAGGAACCAGAGTTTGACATGTTTTGGGAGGGTAGTGAATAAAAATATAGACTCAAAACATAAGCAACAAATCCCTACGCTTCTGGGATGCCGATCCACAATGAGATGCCTCCCGACAGTGTAAAGACACTCGTCCACAATAACGGAGGTTGATTGCAGTGAAGTACATTTAGCGACAGTTTCGCGACGGTTTCGAGTTTGGTGGAAATAGGTCAATGCTACAACATCCACATTTTACCTCTCAGCAGCATACCACATACCACATACATTCCCTTCTTGTATCTTTTATGAATAACTTGTTTTCAGAAGGACCAGATGTTGCCTAAACTATTAAGGTCTTTGTTCTGTCCATTAACCCTCTTAGACTCAAAATAAGTTTTGATAAAAGGACGAACAACTAAGTCCTTCAGGGGTACTTCTGAGTTAAAAAATGCTCATGAAATACGTACTGTATGGGGAGTAACCAGGCAGGTAGGTTTTAACGTTGCAAATCTGCAACGCCTGCCTCTAGAGGGTTAAAGCTGTGTTACTCACGCAGGTAAAAGGGACATCTGCCCTCCAGCTAACATATTCATGTAAAGCAAGGCTAGGACCAGCCTGGGAGGGGGTTTGTTTCAGGATTTGAGAGGAAC